TAAATTCAATTTCTCAAAAAATAATTTTTAAAGTTTACTGGTGTGTCATCATTTACTGCATATACACCCAAGATTGTGCATTTGTGTCCTCTAATCGTAAGGTTCATTTTTATTAGTCTCTAGTTTATGGTCTCCCAAGTAGTTATGTGTTTCCTTAGCTTCTTACGAAACATTTGTTGAGCTCTTTTCTCCTTTGGTACCCCGCTGTAGAAGTGATCATATTCTCCGATGTTTTCTTATCCTTGGCCCGTTCGTTTTGTTTCGGTGATTACTGTGATGTCCAATTTCAGCTTACTCATTGCATGCAATATTTCATTTATTTTAGGTCTAAAACCTTGCACGTTCCAAGTTCTGAAATTCGTACTTCTTTTTCGTAACGCACGTCGTCGTTTGTTGATCGATTCATTCCGAGGCATTTTGCTGGGTTTTTTACCATTTCATTTTTTCTGAGTAACGGTGAGTTAGCCCGATGCCTCAACTCCCGACTTATAGGGCCAGGGTTTAATTTTTAAGTTTTCCTTGTCCTAGACAATTTGCTTTCACTGCAGCTTAAGAACACCATCTACCCTTCGTATGTAATCCTAAACAAGGAGCCCGTACAGGGTGCTATCAGCCGGGCCAGTTAAACCCTGTTTTTTTTTAGGTGTTACTCCTCTGTCCCTCCTCTTTTATCCGGGCTTGGAACCGGCTGCATCGGTTATAGAGCTACTCAATTCACCCCATACCAATACAGGCAGAGTTCTGTTTCATTTGTTGCATTGTTTATATAAATTTTGATGTTTTGGCATTATATTTTAGTGACATTGTTAATTAGAACTGGAACTCCTCATAAATGTTAACATAAACCATTTTGATTTAGATCCCTTACACTTATTTCTTGAAGAAAGTCCATTTTTATAGTTCTTGGGATGAGACTGTTTGTTTTGTTGGGGTGAGAAAAAAAATACGCTGTTTTCGACAGATCTTTTGGGAAACCAGCCTTGAGAATATAAAAATATAAAATAGAAAAAGTCGACACATAGAATACGTTAATGAATCATTTTCAATCAAACTGTCAAAATGTATGTACGAAATATTAAGATCAATATTCCATGCAAGCAATAAATAAATTATTTTCTTACTCCTATACGAGTATATCTGCTATTTAGCGGTTTTTTCCGTTTTTTTATTTTAATGCAATGTGATAAATACTTGTTACTTGGTTCAAAGTATCTCTCTACTTTTATATAAGTTAAATATAGTACAGCCGATATAAAACTACAGATAAGAAAAAAGTTCAAAGATCGCGATTTTGTTTAATTTACTGGAAATGTTTGTTTAAACTAACTGGACCCCCAAACGAGCATGCAAATCACTAAACTTATTACTTGTTGTGATTTGTCGATATATTATTATATACACAGGGTGGTTGATTAGTGTGATAAAGATCAGTAGATCTGCTATAATAATTGATAGGAATAAAAGTTCTTCTTCTTCTTCAGGTTCCTTCTATCAGAGGTTGGAAATCATCATCGCTATTTTAATTTTATTGGCCGTGCTTCTAAATAATTCCAACGAGCTAAAACCGAACCACTCTCTCAAATTTCTTAGCCAGGATATTTTGCGACGTCCTGGTTTTCTCTTCCCTCGTATCTTCTCTTGCATAATTAACCTAAGTAATACGTACTTCTCGCCCCTCATTATATGACCCAGACATTGAATCTTTCTAATTTCAACAGTTTTTATGACTTCACTATAGCCTTATAGCAACCTCTTGTTGTGTTATGCCTTGCTGGATCCAACGAACTAATTGCTAAAGCTGCACTAGTTCTAAACCTCTTTGCGGCATAATGTTTTTGTGATAAATAGATTTCTTGACTTATTGACAAATGGTAAAGCCAATACAAGCACTTTTATACGAATGATATATTCATGTTTAGAACAACATTTCTCTGTTTATATGAGATAAGGGCCGATAAGAATAGGGATAAAAAAACCAGATGCAAAAAATATTGGCAATAAAGATAACATACAGGGTGAGTCATGAGGAACTTTACATACTTCTACCATATGTAGAGTTCCTCAGGGAGCATATCATGTGGTCACTAAAAAATGTCAACTCCTCTTCTTTATTAATTAACAGGGTGATTTGTGTAATTGACCATTTATTTCATTTTACTGTAGTGTTTGTACGGCTCATTTGATTTTTTTAATTTTTGCATGATACAGTACACTACTATCAAGCATTCGACTGGTATTAGCTAAACTAAAAAATTCCAGGACTGGCTTTGGAAAAATTAATTTAGAAATTCGTATTAAATATTACACCCTGTATATATATATTTTTTAAAATGCAATAAGTGATTTTCAAACTACATAAATAGCCAATGAAAACGACATATGCGACAATGTTGTCGCACTTTTATTAAATTTTTAGTGAACGATCAAATCTTACCAAAAATAGAACAACCATAATGAAGTATCAAATTATATGGTATTAATTTAAACAAATGTTATAAATTTCAAACATTTTAATTAAAATGAGTTCCTACAACATAATCTAATACATAGAAAATTAACATCTTTACTGTGACTTTGTATTATCTCTACGATAGAATCAATTGTTTTTCAATTTTAAATTTTTACTTATAGATCGTATTGGGGCATTATTTTCGATAAATAATAAATTAAATTGATTAAAAAGTCAAACCTCTTGTATGTGTTAGTTTTTGTTGATTGTAAAGATTAAAATTTTATGTCAAATAATAATACACAGCATCAACTGTACTAAATAAAAATAAATCTAAAAAAGTTTAAAATGAAGGTTGGCGTTGACCGTTTGACGTTTCTTGATATTTTATATTGTCATTATCAATTGTTATTTATGTGTACAAGAATACATATTTCTTCTGTCATATCTACGTTAAGTACATTGTGTTAGTTTTGGTAGAGCTTTTGTTACTTTCGTTCAAAATGCCACATCAGTTTTCGACCACAGAATATGCAGACATAATATTTGTTTATGGATTCTGTAATGGGAATGGTAGGGCTGCTAGTAGAGAATATCGCAGAAGATTTCCTAATCGTCTCTCCCTAAACTCCCAGTCATCCAACATTTGGTTCCTTTGTTTAATTATTTGCGAGAAAATGGCACTTTTCCTAGTGGAACAACAGAGCGACATGTAGATGAAGCGCAGGAAGATGACATTATGGACGCCGTTACTATGAACCCTACAATAAGCACTAGACAAGTAAGTCGAGAACTCAATGTTACTCAATCAAAAGTAAGTCGAGTCTTACAAAAAAATAATCTATACCCATATCACATTCAAATGGTTCAGCGACTACATGCTGGAGATGAGATCAATAGGTTGGAATTTTATAGATGGATTAACAATAATCGACCAACGCTATACAGGACACTATTTACAGATGAAGCCCAATTTACCAGAGACTGGATAAACAATTCACGAAATTCACATGTGTGGACAGAAGAAAATCCCCATGCTATTCGAGAACGTCGTTCTCAGTTAAGGTTTTCGGTTAACGTGTGGATTGATGTCATAAATAACCAATTAGTAGGTCCTCACTTTTTTGATGGTCCTTTAACTGGGCAGGTCTATTTGAACTTTCTACAAAATATTTTGCCGAATTTGCTTGCCAACGCGAACATTGCTATCCGAGGGATGTATTTTCAGCATAATGGGGCACCCCCACACTTTTTACTGGCAGTGAGACAACATCTCAATAATGTTTATGGCAACAGGTGGATAGGACGTGCAGGTCCTATTTCGTGGCCTTCAAGATCCCCTGATTTCAATCCCGTTGATTACCATATTTGGGGACGATTGAAGCAACTAGTTTACGCAGTGAATATTAATAACAGACAACAATTAATTGATAGAATTATACATTGTTGTAATACTATTAGAAACGATCCCCAGAGTATCCGTAATTCAATACGTCAATTAACAATTCGGCAACAAAAATGTGTATAGGCTGCCGGGTTCCATTTCGAAAATCTATTTTGAATTACTTTTATTTTGTTACCATTATTGTATCTTTTCCAGTTCTAATTTATGGGTTTATCATAACTATGTACATATTTTTAGTTTTTTTTTTTAAATTGTTCTTCGTTATTGTTAGTAGTTACTGTTTTTTGTTATGCAGTGACTCAGTTTATCATTTCAATTAAAATGTTTAATATGTATAACATTTGTTTAAATTAATTACCTTATAATTTGATACTTCATTATGGTTGTTCTATTTTTGGTAAGATTTGATCGTTCACTAAAAATTTAATAAAAGTGCGACAACATTGTCGCATATGTCGTTTTCATTGGCTATTTATGTAGTTTGAAAATCACTTATTGCATTTTAAAATATATATATATATATATATACAGGGTGTAATATTTAATACGAATCCCTAAATTAATTTTTCCAAAGCCAGTCCTGGAATTTTTTAGTTTAGCTAATACCAGTCGAATGCTTGATAGTAGTGTACTGTATCATGCAAAAATTAAAAAATCAAATGAGCCGTATAAACACTACAGTAAAATGAAATAAATGGTCAATTACACAAATCACCCTGTTAATTAATAAAGAAGAGGAGTTGACATTTTTTAGTGGCCACATGATATGCTCCCTGAGGGACTCTACATGGTAGAAGTATGTAAAGTTCCTCATGACTCACCCTGTATAGACTATAGTACACGCAGTTATTTTCAAAATAGTTTTATATGTTAATTTTAGAAATTTTAAAACTATCCACTTCAATTGTTGAGTAGTGTATTTAGTGGCCGTCAATAACAGGTTTTACTCTATTCTAATCTTCTTTCTAAACAAAGTAAACCTCTGGATTTTAAATAACTTAATAGCCTAAACTTGTTTTGTCACCAGCATAATTATACCTACTTTAATTACGTTTTTCATTGTCAACCTAAAACGTTTGCATTGTTATCGGTGATTTCAAAAACCGATAATAATTTCATTATTATTTCACAGACGATAAAAAAACTAACAATCACCACATTAGAATGATTGCTTCTAATTAGTTTACCAACAGTAATAAAATAATGTCAATATTTTCGAATATGTGGTCCATTTAAAGCTCCCATGTTGGTAGAAAGTTAAACAGTTTCGTGATAAATATAATTTTGGATGTTGCGATGACTTGGAAGGTATGACAGTGATTTTTTAAATTGATTATATGGTTAGATTAGGTTATGATAGACTAGAAAAATGTTCAGTTAGGTTAGCTTGACTTCTTTTAATTTAGTTGTGTTGTAATTAAGTTGTTGTGACCGAGGAGCAGAAATCAAATAGGCTCTAAATTAGCGTTTGGCACTTTATTAATAAATTGTAAAATACAAAACTGACTACGATCTAAGCTTCTACATAAGGAGCCAAGCTAACCTCCAATTCTATTGCTTGGAGGAAACCATTCCTTCTACTTCTGTCATATTTGTGAAAGCTAAGTTTGCACGAAGTATTTCTTAAGATACTACAATACCTCTCCTCTAAAGATCCAAACGATCGGGAGCTTTAATAACTCTTTTTGACTGCACTTGCAAAACATTAGCTATATTATATCTAAAATTTCTTCCTCGACACTTTCATTAACTTTATCGCTACTATCTGATTCCTCATTACTAACACTGTTATCTCCTATATTAATCATTGATGATGTTGTATCACCAATACAATCAGATACGATTAATTCAGGTGTCTTATTATCATAAAGAGGCGTCATAGGATCAGATCCCTCAAACTCATTTAAACTTAATTTATTTTCAACAGTTTGGTTTAAACCTCCTAACTCATTAAAATTTCCTTTCAATATCTAATCTATCTTCTTCAAGTGCCGTCTTCGTTCCGAAGTTTAGCTATCATCAAAGCTATGCGTATTTTTGATGCTGCAGATCTAAACAGTTGGTCATTGGTGCAATTGTACCATTCTCTCAAGTTTTTTAACCATGAATGCCTTCTTCTTCCTATAGATCTCTTTCCCATTATCTTTCCCTGTATAATCAATTGCAGCAACTGGTATTTATCTCCCCTCATAACATGTCCCAAATATTGTAGTTTGCGCTTTTTAACAGTAAGTATCAGCTCTTTCTCTTTCCGCACTCTCCGCAAAACCTCCACATTTGTTACTTTCTCTGTCCAGGGTATTCCTAATATTCTACGATACATCCACAACTCAAATGGTTCTATCTTTTTGGTATCGATCTTTTTCAATGTCCATGTTGCCATCCCGTAGAGGAGAACTGACATAACGTAACATCTCAAAAGGCGAATTTTAAGTTTTAAACTTAGATCTCTTCCGCAGAACACCTTTTTCAATTTAGTAAATGTGGCTCTAGCTTTCTCTATTCTAGTTCTGATTTCTTCAGAGTAATCATTATTTTCGTTGATAACAGTTCCCAGGTAATTATATCTTCTTACACGTTCGATTCTTTGATCATGCACGGTTATGTCAGGGAAGTTTTGTGGTGATTTAGATATTATCATTATTTTTGTTTTGCTTATGTTATGTGATAATCCGTGTTCTTCACTGCATTCTACTATTTTGTTAATTAGTATTTGAAGATCTTCTTAAGTTTCTGCGATTAGTACCGTGTCATCGGCATATCTCAAGTTGTTTATTCGGATGCCATTTATCTTAATACCTATATTTTGATCCGAAAGTGCTGTGTTTATAATGTCTTCGGAGTATAGATTGAATAAGGTCGGTGAGAGTATACAACCCTGTCTTACGCCTTTCTTGATCTCGATTTCCTCCGTTGTCTCTTGCTCTATTCGGATATTTGCTTTCTGGTTATAGTAAATCTTAGAGATAATTCTAATGTCCCTTTTATCCAAGTTTTTTTCTACTAGCAGTTTCATTAAGTGGTCGTGACGAACTTTATCAAACGCTTTGTTGTAATCAATAAAGCACATATATATCTTGGTTTATATCTAGACATCTTTGGCATACGTTAAGTGCAAATAGTGCTTCTCTTGTTCCAAGCCCGTTCCGAAATTCGAGTTGAGTATTACTAATATCTGCATCTAGTTTTCTGTTAATTCTTGAGTGGATTACTTTGATGAATACTTTTAATGTATGCCCCATACTTATAGTGCGGTAGTCAGTGCACTGTTTTGCATTTGCCTTTTTTGGTAAGGTTACAAAAGTTGAAAGTAGCCATTCCTTTGGTATTTCTCCTCTTTTGTAGATGCAGTTAAAAAGGTCGAGTAGAATATTCACTGATTCGCCTTCCACAAGCTTAAGAAGTTCTGATGTGAGCCCGTCTGGACCCGGTGATTTACCATTTTTCATTATTTTTATAGCGTATAATAGTTCTTCTTTAGTTATTTCTGGTCCTTCGTCGCCTTGCAAGTTATCTATATTAGGTTCTTGTCTTTCATCGTCGAACAATTCTTCTACATAGTTCTTTCAGGTCCTATCTAATCTATATGAAGCTCCAAAATATATTTTCATTAACAATTTCACAAATATAATGCTTATCTCCTAAAACCTCATTTATAACTCCTTCTACCCATTTTCTCTTATTAGTATACCTATAATCTCTTACGAACATTCTATCGCCTTTTACAATTTTTTTCCCTTTTCGTTTTTACGTGTAACAATTTCTGAGCTTTATTTTCCTATAATAAATCAAAACAGTTTCCAATCTTTAAAAATAGCATCTGAAGGTGTAACACCTGTGGAAACAAGTATGGAGTTTCTATAGTGAGATGACATGTTATCAACGGTGTCCTCCTTAATAATCTTTGTAACACTACTCTTTAATGTCTAAACTGCATTTTCAGCAAAACCATTTTTTGGGGGGTGATAAGGTGGAGAAGTTATGTATTTAATTAAATTATTAGACAAATATTGTGAAAAATTCTACCGAAGTGAATTGAGGTCCGTTATCTGTACAAACTATTTTTGGTAGACCACACCTAGCAAATACGTCTCTAAAGTTACTTATTGTTGCCAAGGAGGCAGTCACTTTCATTATGAATGCTTCTGGTCATTTTGAATAAGAATCTATAATGTTTAATATCATGTTTCCTCTATGTGGACCCAAAAAATCAGCATGTACTCTTTCAAAGAAGTTATTGCCCTTGTCACATGGTATAACTGTTGCCTGAATAGGTTCTGCTCTTGAAGCACAACGAACTCTGCAATTATTAATAATTTTCTCAATGTCCATATCTAACGATGGCTACCAAAAATACTCTCGAGCGGTTGATTTCATTTGTGAAAGGGTTATTAATGACTTCATTTCCCTTATGGGTACTGCGTAATTCATTAAGCAATTGCATTTTTAATTTTATAGGAACCACTACTCGATGGCCCCAAATTACTATCCCCTGTTTCATTGTGAATTGATTCCTATGGATAAAAGGCTTTAATAATTCCTTAGAACACTTTTCAGGGAACCTTATCCGAATTAAATTCACTACCTTACCCAATACTGGAGCTCTCCGTGTTTCTGCTCTCAACCTTAGAGAGTCATGTAACATGATCTAAAAATTTTTTAAAATAACCAATATATTCGCTTTGTTCATCCATAGTTCATCTTTCTCTTCCACTGGTAAACGGCTTAATGCATCTGCTTTCACATTATCCTTTTCCTTAATATACTTTATAGTATAATCAAAACCAGATAAACAGATACACCATCTTTGCAAACGTGCTGCTGCCATCTTTGGCAAACTTTTAAACTCTCCAAATAATGTATTTAAAGGTTTGTAGTCCGTTAAAATTTCAAAATGTCTTCCTGCTAAATATTAATATAACTTGTGAGCAGCCCAGCAAATGCACAATGCTTCTTTCTGTACCATACTATAACCTGACTCTGTTTTTGTTAGTAGCCTTGAAATATAACTAATTGGTCTTTGACTAGCATCAGACATCACGTGCAAAAGCACTGCACCTAATCCATATTTACTACTATCACACACTAGCAATAATTTTTTACATGGGCCAAATTAATTGGATTTCTATCAGACACTAATTGTCCCTTTGCAGGCTCGAATTCCTCATTGTATTCCTTTGTATCCGTTTTGGTTAATTCATATAAAGGTTTTAAAATTTGTGACAAATTTGGAATAAACTTTGAATAATAATTTGTCATTCCTGCAAAAGCTCTTACCTCTGTAATAATTTTAGGTACTGGAATCTTTACTACTGCTTTCACTTTCTCTTTACTTTTCTTTAACCCTTCTGCTGATATGATATGCCCTAAATATTTGATACTACTTTGAAAAAAACTACATTTACTACTATCTAATCTAAAACCTGCTTCATCCAATCTTTTTAAAACTTTGTATAAATTTGCAACATCATCATCTCTCTCTCTCTCTCTCTCTCTCTCTCTCTCTCTCTCTCTCTCTCTCTCTCTCTCTCTCTCTCTCTCTCTCTCTCCCTCTCTCTCTCTCTCTCTCTCTCTCTCTCTCTCTCTCTCTCTCTCTCTCTCTCTCTCTCTCTCTCTCTCTCTCTCTCTCTCTCTCTCTCTCTCTCTCTCTCTCTCTCTCTCTCTCTCTCTCTCTCTCTCTCTCTCTCTCTCTCTCTCTCTCTCTCTCTCTCTCTCTCTCTCTCTCTCTCTCTCTCTCTCTCTCTCTCTCTCTCTCTCTCTCTCTCTCTCTCTCTCTCTCTCTCTCTCTCTCTCTCTCTCTCTCTCTCTCTCTCTCTCTCTCTCTCTCTCTCTTTGTTACCACTACATCAACCAAATAATTCGCTGGAAGGTTCCACCTATAATTGATTGAACGCATTTAAAAAATCTAGCTTGCTGAACTATTTCCTTCCTTCCAACGCTGCAAATAGATCTTCAATTCTGGGAATGCGGTGGTTAACATTTTGCAAATATTTATTTTTTGTAACTTTGTAGTTAGCCTCGACAACCCTTTCTGGGCTTTGGCTTGTTTTCGGATTTTTCGCCATTGCATTCTGTTCCTTGCTTTGTTTTTCCAATTGGCAATCCGTACCTAATAGGTTCTCATCGCTTTTCGACAGTGTCCATGTCTTTGATCCATATACAAAGACCGGTTTTATCAGGGTTTTGTATATTTTGCATTTGGTTTTTGTCAGATTCTGTAGGTTTCTTTGGCCTGTTGATTTGCTGGCCTTCATGTATTTGGTTTTTATTTCGTTAATGTTTAGGCCACTGTTTTGTGCCGCTCTTTC